CCTGTCCAGGTGAACCTGCCTTCACCCTGAGTCAGCTGGGATAGACTCCAGCCCCCCACGACCCTAATGAGGATTAAGCGGTGTATAGATAATAGATGGATGGAAACTTACAAAATTAAAAAAAAAAAAGTTGCTCAACAGCAAAAATCAAAAGACAATTTCTGTTTTCATGCAAACTATTTACTTTGACTTTTTTTGTTTGTTTATTTTGCGGCTAGTCTGGCAGCTCTTTCACTAACTGAGGGAGGCTTTTTTTGCCCTTCTGACACAAACCTCTCACATGGGTGTTGTTTTTCTTTTTCAGACATGTGTCCCTGTAGGCTAATGAGTTTTTGGGTGATAGCTTAGTTTACATCCTGCTGCTGTCAGACCTTTACATTTGTTTGCTTCTCTCCTGATCTCTGTGCTCACTTTAACATATTTCAGTACAGCTGAATTCCTAAATAAGCTGTTCACATTTATGTATATTTCTGTTTCTGTTGTCAGACAACAGAACGAGTATGAAATAATGACTGACCAACAATCACTCCATGGACGTTTACAAGCTCTGCACCTCTCAGCCTCTGATTTTATAACTGTGATGTCATCTGACAAAATTATCATTTACATGACTTAAGGACAACGGCTGTGCTGAGAATGTGCCTGTATTTACATGTTAAATAAGTCCTGAGAGAGAAAGCTAAATGGAACAGAATGGCTTTCCTTTTTTTTTCTCCCACACTGTGCACAGCTCCCGTCTTGATCCTGTACAACCAACTGAATAAGCTGCTCCTCTGGCCATTAACTGCACATAGTAGATGCAGAGAGAGGTGTGCCTGCAGCGGGACATTACTGGTGACTCAAGGAAATTAACTAAGACTTCAAGAAGTTGCTAGATTTTTTTTTTTTTAAACTAAAGTTGCTAAAGAAAGTCTGAAATCCTGCAACAGAGTCGGCAAACTGGTAACAATGGCGACGCCGAACAATATCCAAGGCCTTGAGCTGTAACTCAAAACATCGCTGCTCAGTGAGGATGGAAATGATGAAAAGAACGGCTGCCACGCTAGAGGTTTGGGGTCAGACATGCAACGAGTCCGGCAGCGGAAATGAGAGAGCTGGCTGGAAGTCTGTAAAGCTGACGGTGACACAAAAGTCAACAACACCTTGTAAGAGTTTTACGTGTTTGCTTCTGAGGTGAGAGTTTATTCTCTCTAAAACTCTTACTTCTGTTTGAAATTGAAGATGTTGGATTATATTGGCACAGAAGTAGGGGCAGCTGTGGTGCGTTCAAGGACACTATTGTCAGGAGGTGTGGATGTGGTACACCAATACACAATCACTGTATGTGACACGAGGATAGACTTCAGGTGGTAAAACACACTCATGCTTATGTGTGCTGTGTAACTGAACAACTGGTAGTCCTTGTAGACACTTCAGCCACACTTTCATTTATATTAATGGGGGAAAAAAATGCATGTTTCATTATTCATTGTCAGTTCGGATATTTGAGCCTGTTAGCGTGATAAAGTCTGTCAACATGCAGTCTGTCACTAAACACAAAGGGCAGCTGAGGCTGATGGGAATGTCTTGTACACAGCAATTCTGCAGTTATGTGTAATTATACGTGTTGATGCCAGGGAGAGACCTGGCTGGAGGAAGCAACAGCACATCAGCAAGGCAGAAAATGTACAGACTCATTGCTCCTGCACTGCTACACTGATGCTGTATTGTATTAACATGTTTTCAGTGTCTCTAAGTTTAACTGTGATGCCATATTTCGGGTGAATGTCTTTATTATACACTTAAAATCCTATCATGCTGTAGAAGGTTTTAATCAGGAATTGTTGACTTTGTGTTCAGATACTCAAGATCTAATGGGATTGTATGTGTTTTAATATCTGTCAGGTGCTGTACGGTTCAACATGTTCACACCAGCAGGCTAATCTCAGGCTAAAACTGACAAGCCTTTTAATTTTTCTTCTTTTCTGCATGCTTCCTTTCGGCTTCTCCTCCTTCCAGTGGTCGTGCTGTATTTGCAGGCTGTGGGAACTAAAGAATGGAGGGAGGTAAGTTAAGCAACCTTTTGTTCCCAACAGCCATATCCAATATTTGTGTCTGCCTGTCTGCCAGATGGGTGGTTTTTCTTTTTTTCTCTTTTCTTTTTTATATTAAGAAATGCTATATATGAGTTTTCCTCGGTGCTAGAGACTTTCAATCGGGGCAATAGGAGGTGGTTATTAAGATGAAGTCCAGAGGCAACTCACAGCAAACCCTTGAGAACATTGTTGTAGAAAATTGAAAGTGTCAACCTCTTCACTTGCCCACGGAGTGTAACCGGTGTCTGGAATAAACTCAGGCGGGGAAGGAAAAGCTCCACAATACTTGACCCAAACTGATGAATTAATAGCAGAGGTTACGGAATAAATTATTTAAAAAGGATCTCATAATTTTATGATTTCAGATGAAATGAATTCACATCATGACTCAAGGCAGGGAGGGAAAAAAAGAGGGCGGATTCTTTTTTGGCCTCATCAAAAATGTACCATCTGCTCCGCTTGACTTCTTGCTGCCAGTTTTTAAAGCGGGGTCATGTGACATTGCATTCATTTCCACTTCTTTGAAATCCTTTCCTTTTCCACTTTTTCGTCAGCGTGCCTCTCCGGCTGCCATTTTCACATCTCATCCATTAGCCCTGTTCCCCCCCCCTCCTCTAATTTGCCTACGTCATGCTGTTCTAGTTGCTTTATTTGCCCATTTGCGAATGCGATGTGTCGGCGAGGGCTTCGCCACCGCTGATCCCCTCACTTCAAGACACCTCACACCTTTTTATTCCATGTGGCAGGGCTTAATCAAAAACACGGCATGATTTGTGCTGCAATCAGCAGAGTAAACATCTCGCTGCCAGCCGCACACATATCGACACCTTGAAAAGATAATTGTGCCTGGATGGAAACCTGACAAATCCTGCGTTTGCTTTTAACATCATGTTTTGCTTAATGGAAATACTGGATATACTGTATAATTTATAAGTGCCGTTTATTTACAAATAGTTCATTTACATTCTGCATAAACACGTAAAAATCATTTAAGCAGCATCACGCCGCTGTCACCTCGTGCACCCGCCTGCCGCTGTTTTTCTTATTTTAGCTATTTGTGGGGTTATTTTCACTTCTTTTTCCGCCCTGCATCAGCCCGTGCACTAAATTGTTTTATGATCACAAGTGGTTCCATTTTTCCCAGGGGACGGCTTTGATCCTCCGCTCACAAGCCGCAACAAATCATCAGCGGTAACCCAAGGAAGACTCCAGACAACTCTGTCTCAATTCTATCTGTGTGATTGCTTGCTCTAAAGCCGGCATTAAAGGCCCAGCCGCACACAAATGGCGGATGATATAAAATTGCATTTACTGGAATCTGTGTTATTATTGCCTTTACCGGACAGTTATTGTCGCCTATAAGCTGTATCGCACCGACAACTTTCAGTGTGAGAATAGAATCTTATTTACTACTTTAACTTATTGTCCTGTTAGCAGCCAAGCTAACATGCTTGTTAACTGACAGTGAGCTTGCCAGATAACAAAAAACCCTGCTAAATTACCACATATATTATCAAAATATGATCCTTTTGGGATAAAAGCATTGTGATTATTTTTATTTTACCCAACTCATGAGTGAGGAGCTCATGGTGGTCTCTGTTGGGTCTGCTTTCACAATCCCATCGCCCTTCATCTTGGAAGAAAAACACAAGAAACTCCCATAGATGTCTATGAAAGGCTGTGACTTTCTATTTTTTTTTACAGGACATAGCAGCTGGCTAAAGATTTTGCTGTGTGTTATTATTCCTGAGACGTGCCTAAGCGCGAGTTTTATGGAGGATTTAGAACTTTCCTGCTGGTGCAAATCAAAGCACCTCTAAAGCCCTGCAGCGACGACTTTTAATTACTTTATTTATACTTTATAATTTAATAACTCTTCATTGATGAATTATAAAAGTGTAAATCAGCACTCTACAACTGTTTTTTGCACCACGGACTGGTTTCAAGCAAGACGATTTTCTACAAACTCGTCATCACGCACAAAACAAATAATAATCTTTTTTTTTTATTATTAAAAAAAGTTTCTTTAAAAAATATTTTTTATTGTTTATATATATGTATAAATATGAATTTACGTTTTCTTCTGTCTCAGCATTGAGTCTCTCCCTCTTTTCCAAACAGCTCTCCAGAGACGTTTGTTTTTCATTCATTCTGGCAGCAGTTCGATTGACGGCTCCGTGTAACAGCCGGGCATCCAAACCGACAGTCGAGTGCAGGAAACAAGCAGAGATGGAAGTGATGGCAGCCAATGTAGTCATTTTTATCAATAAAAACCCTGCAAACTCCGCTGGAAATCAAACAAAAAAATGAAATGTTTTTATTCTTTCTGTGTGGCCCGGTACCAAATGACCCACGGCCCGGCGGTTGGGGACGAATCACCTCGTACTGTCCCCCGCACAACAAGCATTTCTTTTCAGGACCATTTGTTTTCCTTGCATGCGTGCAATCAACAAGTTTTCAATGCAGACAATCTGCACGTACATTCATGGACTTGGGTGGAGGATGACATTTACATAATGCCAACCTTGCACAAATATAAAAAGCATGACTTGGCCTCGGTGTATGTGTTTAATAGGCCCAAGCATGCTGAATATCTCTTGTGAAACATGATGATATTGTAACTACATAATGTTTGCATGTCTCAGCTTGTTAGCACAGTGAGCTCCCTGGTGCAGTAGTTAGTAATTACACTTAAAGTAGCTGTCGGCATAATTAATGACACTGATGCTAAAAATGTGTCACCGTCAACTCTTAACAAGTACAACCTAAAATCTGCTTTTGGCTTATAGTCAATTTAATGCTGTAGAAAAAACACTTTGGCTTGAAAGCGTATTTGAATTCGAAGGCCATGTTTTAATGGGCTTTAAGGTCATATTCAGAGTACGTATAGCAAAATTATCGCCTCTGTCACTCATCAGCCTCTTGAAGTATTCGAGGCTTGTATACAGCCTAATCTGGGTGCTCACCGGGTGTTTGATTTGCATAAACACCGCCGAGGTTGTGCTGGAGAACACAAAGTGCTAAGTTCACGGTCGCTTCAGTCTCCTCTGCGGTCTCTCGAAAAAAAATATGGCCGCTAGGTTTTGAAGTTTGCACAACCAACAGGCAAACAGATAAATGTTTTCCTATTATTACACCACGTACAGTAAATGTCGCAGTGTGGCTCCTACTGTACTACTACTATTTTACATCCGTTAAATAGACGATAAGACATAAGCATTCGCTAGCCTGCAGAGTTCTTTGACAACAAATCTGTGCAAAATCTCGACAACAAACTGTTTTAAGAAATGCTTTCAACTATTGCAGCTTTTGTATTACAGTCCTTACAAGCTCCATTTCACTTCCCCGACCAAATCTGACACACAGCACACAACATCTACGCACACACCTGCCTACACAGGAAGCAAGTTGAAGGACAAGTCGTTCTTTTGTACACCCACGCTGTTGTGATTTAAGTTTTTTGGCCTTGAGTCCGTCCTTCTGTGACCTAATGGGTTCCGACAACCAATAAAATCTCCCTCTTGGTAGAAAAGTGAAAAGGGTGGACTACTGAAAGAAATACATCATATCTGTAATGGATCCGTTTTATCACCCTGTGGACTGTTTCCAGCTTCCCCAGGTAGCCTATAGCCAAAAACATCTCAAGCACCAGCAAAGTCGTTACTTAACCTTCACCCGTAACGCCCTAGCACCTATTAACCAATCACGTCTGAATGATATGATAAAACCAAAGGCCCCAGCCCCGAAAATAGAAACACCACGAGGAAATATCAAGGGATTTTCCCTTCGGGTCGATATGGCAGGTAGGTTCTGATGTCCAATACACTCCCCTGCGAGGCCTTGGTAATGGATAGGCTGGGGACGCAGTAGATAGCACGGATTATGTGCACTGGGCACTAAAGACATGAGTCGAGGTATTGAAGCCGTGGTGAGGCAGTGCCAAGATCAATAGCTCATTACACGGTGCTGTCGGGCCAGGCCACGGAGGCGAGGCCGGCAGTCCACCGGGGGGATTACTGGTGTGATTGTCAGGGTGATGGAGAGACGGTCTGGCCCAGGAGAGAGTTTGGGACTGGGCCTCTGCGGCCCAGCGATGGCGACTCCTGGCTCTAATCTAGCAGTCTGATTTCTCCGGGGACACAAGATTTAGCACAATGGAGCTCAGCGGGATACAGCGTGGTCACATTTTTGCAAAGGAGATTTTATATTTATGGATTCATTCTGTGTGAAATGTTGCAATGGTAATATGGGTTGCTGCTGCATCTCATGAATTTTTATTTACTTGTTTCTCTCGTGTATTTCAGCTTTATGTGGGCATAATAGCACATATTGACTGTGGAATCAATGCTGCTATTACAGACAATTATCACTTTCTTTCTGTTTTTTACAGTTTGGCAGGACGGAGGTAATCGATAACACTCGGAATCCAGATTTCGTCAGGAAGTTTGTCCTGGATTTCTTCTTTGAAGAGAAGCAGAATTTAAGGTTTGATGTGTAAGTAGCTGGACTTTACTTTTTTCTGAAGCAATCTGAGCTCATGTAGTTCTAAACTGGGACACACCATCCACCCACTATGTAAATTCTTGTACAGTAACCAACTACAGCAAAGCAATGCCTCATATTACAGTCACATCACTTCTCTCTCTGTAGGGTCTCAGTTTAGTGAAAACCTAATTTTATCCCATTGGGGTAAATTAACAAGCCAGTCACTGACAAAATTAGATGGTAGGATGCCCAATGATGCGAGGAGATTTTTAAAAAGGTCACTTAGCAAAGCTGCTTTATATCCCCCACTTATTAGATTAGTGTTCATTTAGCCACATGTTCAGTTCACCTACTTCTTATCCTTCATCAATAGCAGAGAAAATCACTTGCATGCCTCCGTAGCTTTAATCAAGGTACAGAAATGTGCTTTTATTGCTCAGTGGGGTTTGAAAGGCAGTAGATTGTATGTACTTATTTTTTTTCCCCTCTTTGGAAGGAGTGGGCATTAAAATGGATTGTGGTGATGCTGGTACATTGGTGTTGGGCATCTCTCCATCATTCCTGTTTTCTATTTTCCTCCCCCCAACAAAATGTCAGTATAGTTTATTTTTTTACTGCAGAGAAGAGAGCTAAGAGGTGATTAGCTTAGCATAGATTAGCTTAGCGTATAGACTGGCAGCAATGACAGGTATCTACAGTACAGAACAGAAGTGAGGACATGCGTGCAATACTGATTTGAAATTAAATGACTGAACAGTAATTGCATTACTTCTAGGTTGAACAGTTGGGTAGCAGTAAGGTATTTGCTCTAATGTAAAATTAAAACTACTATCAGAAATACAGGCGCTACAGGAGGAACTCCATGCCAGTCAGTGCAGCTTATTATTGATGGCAGTCTTCCTAAAGGAGACATGCTCTGCCATTCTTAAGAGACATTTTTTTCAGCTGTTCTAGGAGTTCTGTTGGACTCAAGTCAGGCGATGTACTCAACCAGGTGATAGTTTTCATTTTATTTATTTAGTTTTTAAACTCTGGAAGGCTATCATGCTGGAATATACCTCTTCTGCCAAACTTCTGCAGACTGAGGCCTTGTCCACACGTAGCAGGGTTTTTGTAAAACTGAATATCCTGCCCCCTCCGTCTAGACAAAAAAACCTACCACCTCGTTTTAGAAAAAAATTAATCCACGCCTAACCGCATAGGTATATTTTTAAGCACATTCATATTCTACGTGAGGATGTAATAACTCCGACGACAGGAGCGACGACCGGGACGTACGGAAATTGTCACGCCATTCCTCTGGGAGCATGATTTCCGTTTCAAAGTTCTCCCAGCAGCTGGCAGTGGTCTGACCCAAAACCGGCGTCGGTGTCTTTGATGGAGAACATGCCTCGGACGTGGAATGGCAAGGTGGTGGAAAATAACCGTCCTTAACATCGTCCTTGTTCTTGTACGTGGAGCGGTATCTGGGCCTGGACAGGAGACAACGGCAACACAGTTTTGAGGGCGTCCATGATGTTTCCAAATGTAAACATAGGTCGCACATGTGATGTAAAGAACATATTTTGTAGCAGGTAGTAACGTTTAGAAACCTAAAACCCCAGTTATTGACGTCCACATGCAGATGCATAAATGGAGGATTCGCAAATCTTCCCTTCGGTCGGAGGTTTTTGAAAGAATCGTTTTTAATGCCAGTGACAGGCCAAATCGTAGAAAAATATTTGTTTTGTGAGATACCTGCTACGTGTGGACGAGGCCTGAGAGCCCTCTTTGCCCTCCAGTATTTTTGGTATGTCCACAGGCATTATGGTGTCATCTATAAATGTCATCTCCCCAACACATTTCGCACTCATACAGCCCCATATTATCCACTCCCACCCTCACTGCTGGGGCTATATATGTGATCACTGGCCAGGTTCGTGCCAATCACGCTGGATCTTATCTGAACAAATTCATCTTGGTCTCATCTGACCAAAAAACATGCTCCCAGTATTCGTCAGGCTTGTTGACACGTTCATTACCAAAGTTTGTATTTGAACTAGATGCTGTCTGTAAATGTTCCCATTATGCACAATGGGGGGAAAAAAATCACTAAAAGTCACAAAAACCTTGGTTTCCTTTGATAAACCTGTGGCTACAATCGTGGCTTCACCACCACCAGAATGAATGTGTGTGAATGAATAATTGACAGTTGATTGTATGCGCTTTGAGTTACTCCTTGAGTAAGAAAATGCTATATAAATCTGATCAATTATTATTATTGTTATAAACCCTTTGCCTAGTTTAAAGCACTTGACCACCCATCTATCAGCGCTACATTGTGCACTGTCCAGAGTTAACTCCACGACTCTGATTGGTGCTCCTATGACTCATCCTGTACCGACTGATTAGTGCTGCTACTGTGCTTTCGCTGATTGTTAGTTGGTCACAGATCTTCCTGTACTCGTTTCCATCTTCGTGAAGTGTCACGATCAGATTTTTCTTTTCCGTGTAGAGCCACAACATGCAGACAGTCCTCAGATCCAAAACTTGAAAATTGTGACGTTCACATTTCATTTCGTAACCATGATCGTGCAGCTAGGCTGATTGGAAATCACAGGCGTTGTCAGTTTTGATTTAGTCGTCACAGGTTTTCTAACTTGTGTGTCAGTGATCACAGGTTGTCGAGTTTCTACCCCTGGGGCCTGTGTGTTCAATACAGTCTTTCTGAAGTAACGGAAAACACTCTTCATGTCAACTTAGAAAGAATGCAGCTATTGAGAGGTGATATAATTTAGAATCATTTGCCGTTTACTTCATGTTGCACAGGGGTGTTCTCCCTTCTGCTGTATGCTGTGTCGGCAAAAATTATAAATATGCCTACAAGCATGTTTGAAGCTTGTAATTAGCACGTTACATCGAGATGTTTAATCTGCATACAAAGCAAAACGTAAAAAAAAAAAGACAAATTGAGGTTTTATGGGGAGTTACTTGCTTGAAGCATTTCTTGTTGCAAAAAAAACAAATAAGCATCAGTGTTGGTAATCACCCCACAGCAACATTATGCTAATTACAGTCGTTCCATTAAATGTAAATCCATAACTTGTTATTACAAAACGGTGACTCTGACGCCGATAATTAATAGTACTAGAAATTAAGCTGGAATTGGGGCCACTGCAAACGTGCATCACCGTTGTTTCTCCCGGTGATGACGCCAGAACCACAGATGCGGTTTTCTCTAAACGTCTTCAAGTCAAACCTCACGAGTTCCAATAATCTTGTTTGTTGCTCGCAGGTACAATGTGGACTCCAGAAGCTGCAACATATCCAAACACGTAAGTACAGTACGGAGACCTCGAATGACAGCCGTGACTCAGAGCTGACGGCTTCCGTCGGCCTCTGAATGCATCACGTTACTCAGAATTACTCACTCTGTTAAAGCAACATCCAACTGAATGAGTGATGATTCAGTATGAATACAGTCCATGCTTAATATCTTATATATCAGTTCTGTGACGGTGTCTTTTATTCTTTTCTCTTTTCCCCCCACTGAAATAAAACACTTCGGAGAGCAGAAGGTGAGTGCACATTGTTAGCCTCGTAAGTCTTGGTGTTACAACATCCTTTATTTTTTTTTTCTAATGTATTTCAGCATCCCCAGAACAGACTTTCAATTTTTTTGTGTGTGTGTGTGATTCATTCGTTTTAATTGTATTGAATTTTTTTTTTTCTTTCATCTCATTTCATCAAGGACAAACACCAACGGCTCCCACTCGGAAAGCTTCCCCCGTAGTGTGTTGTACCTCATTTTGTCTGTCTGCATTTTATCATTCACTCAGGTAAAAAAAAAAGACAACTTTCAGAACTGCACTTCAAAGTGAAAGCAGCTGTTGTTGTTTGAGGCAATATACTGCAGCAGATTGTGGATGTGAGGGTATTTACAGGAGCTGCACACATATCCAGTTTGCGGGACTCACACCTACGCCCGCCTACGCCCACGCGCCACAAACACCGACACTGTGCCCTTGTAGCCGTGCAGTTTTTATTGTGTCGTGTCATCTCTGCTGGGTTTTTTTTATGTTGCCATATGTTTTTTTGTTTTTCTGTGTAGCATGTGGGCAGGTTATAAAGTTCGAAATCTGTTGTTCAGTGAGAATGCTGAAGGAAAGGGAAGGCTGGCTCATGCACAGTGTGGTCCTGTTTAAGTATGATCAATTGGTCAACAAGCGGCTGAATAACCCTGTCCGACTGCTCGGGCCTGACCCGGTTGGGTTAATGAATGCTTATGCAAATGGTGGAATTAAACTCCAAAGTTAATGTTTAATTTAAAATGGCACTTCAATAAGATGAGATTGAACTTTAATGGAACTTTAATGACTTTAATATCTCTCTTACTATCCCTATTGATTTTATAGCCTTTTCATAATTGCTATCGAGCCTTTTATCTTTAGTGGTAACTCTGCCAAGAAAAGTGCAAAGTAATAAGTTCAGTGTTCAGATATTTCATTGGACTGGTTCCCCCGATGCTAACTCGAGTTGATAAAGTTGAAAAGCTCCTGAATTAAATGGGAATCTGACACCACCAGAGCGCACCGCAGCGTCTCGGAGATGTGTACAATTAAGATCTGCAGCATGCCTGCACCAAGCAGGGCATCATTATGTTATCTGCAGGTACTATTTACAATACCTTCCCCTTGATTAGAGCTTGTTTTTAGGCGTGGACTATCTGTCAGCCCTGTCATGCAATTAATTCCCCTCTTCTATTTTTCTCTCCACTGTCAGGACTTTCTGGGCCAGACCTTCTGTACACTTGGAGAAATCATCGGCTCCACGGGAGGACGGCTGGAGAGGACCCTCTCGTAAGTCCCTGACATCCTGTCTATTGTCTCAGTGTGCAATTACTATCCGCTTTTTTTTTTGTTGTTGTTGTTCAGGCATTGAATCATATTCATAATAGAAATTATGCACATAAATAATTTCTTCAGCTGTGCAGAATGAAACGATTCCCCCTCCGTCTTTTGTTCCATATTTATTGATGGCTGCTGCGGAAAACAACACCATAAGAGCCATCTCACTAATGCAGCGTGTGACAGACTCACCCAGCTTAAATAGCCTCGTCTATTATATTGTTAGATCGGAGTACATCAATGCACATCGAGCTACTGCTGGCGAAGTATCGAGTTTTTATTCTGTTTGACAAAAGTACGACGTGACAGAAGTCAGTATAACATTGGATTCTGACTGACAGACACACAATCTATTCGTATTTTCTCCTCGGTGAGATGTGAAAAGTGGAAACCAATGCGGGTTTTTTTTCAGACTATAAAAGGTGGAATAGTGTGAGATCTTTTTGAGCTCCCAAACCCTTTTTATTTTTTTTTTCTGCATCTCTGCAGTGTTAGATAACAAGCTTTATTCTGAAGAGTGAAAAGAATGCCAGCAGACACAGAGATGTGAGGTCTGAGAGGTCACGGGGCAGATCTGAACCCATTTTATTGCCAGGAGAAAGGTGTCTCACTTTGTCTCCCTCCACACTGCAGAGTTCATCACACAGGATGCAGGGAAACTATTGTTCAGCTCAGAAGGCTTCTTAGCGACGCTTATCGGAGAGCAGCATTTCAATCACAAGCTCCATAAGAAAAGAAACATAATGCTTGTTTATCTTGGTTTAGTTCGTACCTCTATTAGTGTGGTGAATATTTCCAATTTAATTAAATCCGATCCTGTGTTTCTTGAATTTAAATGAACAGTTAAATGACTTTATGACAAACTGGTGTTGATTTCCTCGTTCACTACGCTGAGTTGTGAACGTGTAAGAGACTGAAGGAATAGTTCTCTGAACACTGAGGAGAAAACAGTCAAACAGTTTGAGCCAAAGTTCAGTAGAACAGAGAGCCAGACGGTGCCATGGAGTGGATGATATCTTTGAGGCTTTGTGAGCAAACTATTGCATTTGTCTGTTTGCCTTGACTTTTTCAGCGGTAGCTCGGCCTTCCTCTGAAGTGTCTCAGGTGGCGATGAGCTGTGCGCCACCAGGTGGTCGCCACCTGTGGCACGTCTGAGGTGGAAACTGTCAAGGTAACCACACACATGTGAGCTAGTCTGAGTCACAAATAGCTCACAAACAAGGTGTCTGAGTCAGACTTTGCTACTGTGAAGATTTACTGGGCTCCCTGCTCGGGCTGCAGCTAATAACTGTTGTCATATTGATTAATTTCATGATCATTTTTTCAACTGTTTCGTCTGCAAAGTGTCAGGAAAGGAGGGAAAATGTCCATCAGTTTCCAAGAAGGTCGTTGAATGTCTTCTTTTAGCCAAAAAACAAAAGATTTCTAGTTTAAGAGGAAGCAGAGGGAAGTATGTACACACATGTTGGAAACTGGAACCAACACATTTGGCATTTTCACTTGAAATACTGATCAGATTGACAAAACAGTTACAACCAGTAAATATAACCGATTAATTTAGTCCGTTTTTCAAACACTTTCAGCCCTAGCTTTCAGCATACCTGACCATCTTATACCAAGTGGACCTGTAGACTTTGGGTGCCATTTTCTCTGGGCATTACACGAGGTGTTCTTCTCATAGACTGTATAAAAGATGGACGTAGCAACCAGCCCTGAAGCATGAAGCCAACCCGGAAGTGTCAACAACCTACGTCCACGAGCTGCTGGCTCCAAAAAGCCCTGGCTCCCATAGACTTGAATTGGAAAAGAAGGGGCGTGGCTGGCTTGATTGACAGTCGGCAGCGACCATACAGATGAAGCGAGCAGAAGGCGGTAAATGTGGGCGGGCAGAGAGGGCCCGCCTCTCAATCCGTCTGACCAATCGCTGCTCCTATGGCTCCGCCCCCCTCCGACGATTTTTGCGTCATTGGCTTCAAAAATCCAAGATGTCAACCAGGAAGTAGCAAAACCCTGGCTTCATTTTCTCAGTGCAGAAACCAACGGGTGACATCACGGTAGCTACGTCCATCTTTTATACAGTCTATGGTTCTTCTCTGCAACCGTCCTCATAATCAACAACCTCCCACCTAGCAAGCATTCATCCATTATCTGTCATGGTGATCCATTTAAATAAATATAGCAGTTTGGACCGATTTCAGACAGATTTACCAACAGTTGGGACATTGCTATCATAAGAGCCACACCGCTAGCTTAACTAAAAATATGAATCAAGGTCCACTTGGCTTTTTTTTGACCACATCTTGTGTTGTTGCTACATAGGAAGGATTTTTTTCAGTTTCCTAACAGAATTTCCACATTTGTTCATAAGAACTTATCAATCTGCTAACAAGGACAGTGAGAAGCTGTTGAAAAGTCTGTAGACAATAGTGCGCAGTGCTCAAGTTAACGTTTCCTTGCAACTTTTAACCTCAAACTCTTTGCACTTCATTTTTCCATTCATTCTTTTCACCAGAATTTCACATTTCAAAGTTTGCCAGGAAGCCAATTTGCTCTCTCAAATGCTTCTTTGGCGCAAGTCAAGGAGGTTTAGCTCAACCAACAGCTTTGCTTATAAACACTGTTACATTTTAAACTCTGGTGTGTCAAGAGCAAGTCTGTGTGGGTTTGTAGTTGTTTTCTTCTTCTATTTTTGCTTGGAATGGTAGTACAGTATATGAATCACTGCCACTGACTTCAGCTGGACGTGGCGATGAGTCAAGTCGGCCAGGGGCCAGTTTTTGGCCCCTGCAGCCGTCCCCCGCCAGCAGCACTATTGACATGTTTTAGAAAGCTTATCATGCTCAGACAGACCAAACAATCGGCCGGCTATGGACGCCTTTCAGCCAAAATGACACAGTGTAGGGCGAGTGAGGAATGAAGAGGAAAAACAGAAAGGAAGCAGAGAGAGAGAGAGAGAGAGTGGGAGCAAGTATTTTACATTTTAGCATAATTGGAATGTTAAGTGAATATGATACTAGTGCTAGAGAGCAGAAACAAACAGAAGTATAGCCAATAACCCAACATCAAAACACAATACCATTAATTTTACAGCCTTTAGTTTGTCTTCTCTTAACTTTACCAACATTAAATAGATTTATATAAATTTCGCCCCCAATGCAAATCTTTTTATAAAAATAAATAAATAATTAAATGCACTTTTACGGATGGAAACAATTACTCACACTCATCCCAAACCTGCCAGAAGATTCATGTGATTAATCATGTTTTTACTGTATCCATTAATGGAATTCACCTTGAGGAGAAAAATGAGAAAACCCGTGAAAGGTTGCGTACGAGAAGACCTCTGTCTGAAGGGATTTTCTAATGACTTATTCTGTGATTAATGAGGGATGCGTTGAGTTGAAAGACATTGATGAGGGGGATTTCCCAACATTGTGCAAGACAGCAGCCTGATCTTTCCATCAGATTTATAGAAAACACATCTACTGCACGCATATTAAATTTTCCCATCACGTTTGATATTGGTTTTAAAGATATTAGATGCAAGATATTAACGTACACTTTCATTCAGGCAAGCGAGTGTAAAACGAGGAAAACGCTCACTGTGGTTATTGCACGACCAACCGAAACCCATCAAGCAAAATCTCAATTTTATGAGGTATTCATGCAATATTCTTTATTGCAATTTTTCTTTATGTTTTCTAGCAGCTGATTTTTTTTATTGCCTTGAACTGTTTACCGTCAGATATTACAATGGGATTTGAAAAGCTAGAAGTTGACATTTTCTTGGAGCAAAGGTCTCATTAGACTCTATGAAAAAGCAAACAACGCACAGTCTGTCATCGGAAAGACGGCGGTAGAAGTCAGTCAAAGAATCCTTGTTAAGTTTTAGTTTACTTTAGTTTTACCCCTCAGAATGCATTGTTTATGACTGTGGGCAAACAAATTCTCGAAATGCATTTCCTTCCATGCCTTGCTTGACAGCTGGCAGAAATATATGGATGCAAGTCTGCATGCATGTGTGCAAAAGCAAATGAAGTATGACTTGTGCAAGCTCTGGCACTGGTAATGGTTTTCCTGTTACTGATTCTGCTTTGGCCCTAAAACCTTGTTACAGTTTTTTTTTTTTGGTATTTCTGACAAACATACACACAATAAAAAGCAACAGATACAGTATACACCAGAGGTAACTACACCCTTATGCACAGTTAAATGTCAAATGATTCAACACCATATGACAGTAGGGTATTTGTAGTTATGTACGATTAAACAGTAACATTTTAGATTGGCTATAATAAAATGACAAGCCCCACAGTAGGACCACAATGCAATAAAAGTGTATCAGTAACAGTAAGCAATCAGTGCATCTTTCATTAAATAATATTAAAGTTTAGTTTGTCCAGCTTTACTTTTGATGACAGATTCAGTCATCCTCAGCATAGAGGATACACATTTTCTGCAGAGATGTTCTGGCATTTTTCAGGTACTATTTTTCTAAACTGCTCCTTGCTGGAGGGGCTCGTGTTGCTCTCCCTTTCTCTCTAAAATATCCCAAAGTTGGGGTCACCCGGTGTTTGCCATTTTTTCGACTGTTGGTATTGTTATTTTTATTGACCATTTATCTCTACAAAATGTAATGTGTGTAGTCACTTTGTAGTCTTAAGCAATGTTCCAGCCACAGTGCTTTCTAATTGGTTACATGTCACAAGTAGCAGCCAATCACTGAAAGCTATTGTTTACACAGCGAGACAGAAGTGCATTTGCACAGCAGATGGCTGTACCATGAAGCAAGTTTGACATAGCTGGGCTTTCTTTGTGTAAGCAGGGATGATGAGTATCACAAAGATGATTAGAAACTTTCTGTCAATTCAGACTTTCTGCTTCAGACTCTGTGCGATAAAAGGAGCCGTTCAATAAGTCATGTGACTCTTCTTCTGCACAAAATGAAACAA